GGTCGCAATGCACTGTTACTTCAACAGTAATGTTGTAAACCAGTAAAACTAAAAGTAACCTACTATGTACATTGCACTACCTGTATTGGGAAATACTTTACGATCAGTGGGTGCCTACATCAAAATCTAATTTTAATAATATTTTGTCTGTAACTTCATATTTATTGTACGTTAAGTATAAAATAGTTAACGCGGAGCAACTAGAAATACGAACGGGATGTTCAATTATAATTAATAAACGCATCGTGAACTGAAATTATTTATTGTAACTCACTCGTTTGAATGAAATTCCATTCCATTAAATACTTTTTGTCACATAATGAATGGCCTGAGGTAGTGTAACTTCCGAAATTCGACCTAGATATAAAGGTATACATGTAATACCATTTCCGCAGAGTTTTGAACAAAAGAATAGCGCTTATTGTTAGCTATTTGTACTATTTTTTAACCTAAACACTATTAGCACGTCATTATCTACTTATTTTTGCTATAAACGACTATCAGATTGCTAAAACTCTACAGGACAATTCAAGTAAAATGTTTTATTTAATATATAATCACTCCAAATCATTTATTAATTAATTTATTGTTTTAATTTAAGCTTGGGTGAATTTCAATTGATATTTTCTGCAACTGTGAGATACTTATTTTTGACCTGTATAATCTACCCTGAAGAAGTTTTAACATAATGAAGCGAAACGTCGGTGTGATATATATTAAATAAAACGTTTTTAACCCCTGAAATTGCTTGAATTGTGCTGTTGACAAATATTAAGATAAGAAATACGAAGGTGTATTATTCTGTAGTAAGGGTGGATTCAAATGGACTTTAAATAGTTTGCAATGTTAATTATTAGAAAGCCGCGTAGTTCGGTGCATTTCTACCTGTCCTCTCTTCCAACAGTCGGCGATTTCCTAGAAAAGCGATTAAAAAATGATGGCCTTAATTGCGAACTAAGGACTGAGGAAGAGAACATCCTTTGAAGTCAATAGTTCTCACTAACTTTCTCTTATTTAGTAGGTAATGGAATATTTACTCCCCCGCATCAAACAACTGACTTAGCAGCATCTTGAAAGTTTTCACTAGTAAGCTGTGTGCTCTCGGGTACGATTTAAGTATGCGCTCGGTTTATCGTGGAAAACAATGAGAAAACTTGAACGAAATGTTGATCACTAACATTAAATAAGTAACATAAATTCTAATCTAATATTCCATTTTCTAGGGTGTAAATTATTACGCAACTATCAAATTTTAAAAACGGCTATCTGAATTTCAAATCTTTTTGGGATTTTTAATCCTTAGCATTCATTTAGACAATGTAAAATTTTAAAAGACTCCCGTATTACATTTCTTACCGGTAAAGACATTTTTATGTTCTTTAATTAAATCCAACTTTAAAGGATGTTGCAGTTTGTAACAATAAAATTTCAAAAAAAGAATCTGGTGTCTACAAACTTCAACGTAAAGACTACTTTTGCCATCTGTATTAGCCAATCTAGTAAATCCTTTAAAAAAGCTTGTTTTGTTGTGCGAAAAAATGCGTATTCATGTTACTAATATTGCGTAGGTTTTTTCAAATTCTGTTTAAGAAATTGTATACAGTTAAAATTATCATTTTATGATGGAAAAGACATGCATGAAATTATTTTTGCGTAAGCACTGAAACGCTGAAGTTATATAACGATATAAAAGACTACAGAAAAAAATTTACAGAAAACGCAATTATGAAAGACTGACTTAGTACCTACAGTGCTAATTTAAGAAGAATTCAAAAAATGGGATCTCGGTTTAATGGGCTATGCCATCTTTTGAATGTTGTAACATATTGGTATTTACCATAATGAAAAATAAATTCGTTTATGCCGATAATGCTAATGTTAATTACGCAACCTAAATTCTTGAGGAAAATAAATGCATTAACGCTTGTAGATGTAATACAGAAAATCGAAAAAATATTAACGAAAAGCTACATTCATGAGTTTTCCGGTATTTTTGGCGATAGATTAGAATTCAAAGGGGAGACTGTAAGCAAAAATCACGTGATTGTAGAATTTAAGGGTAAAAAAAATTGTCACACTTTGTAGTCCATTGGAAGGGGTTCTAGAAACTACATTTCCAAAAATGTCATTATTTCCATGTTTAGATCACCCTCATCACGTTCAAACATCGAATGAGAGAGGGGCTAGGCTATGACAAAGTGATATGTTAACAAACAAACATATCGGGATGCATTCGCCCCTATTGAGGCTATAATCATTCACTCCTCTTCTTTCTTTATCTCATTCGTCCCATCTGTCTTTCCGCAATCAATACTCATTCTGTGATACTGAAATGGACTTTTCACCCTGACCTCCGGCTATGGATTGGTGTTTTAGTCAGAAAAATTGGCCTTTTCCTAACATGAAACATACAAAAGTTTATAGAACCGTTACACCCAGTTTTACTTTACTTTCTGGATATTTTCAGACTCAAGAAACTTAACTCCTACAGTCGATCTTTGTATTACAGTTTCCTTTTTATTAAATAATTACATAACCTATTACGGTCCCTTTTTATGGTATCAAATTCCTACTTTGATGCAATTAGTAGATAATTATAAAGATTGCATCTCGCAAATATAAAGTCCTGGCGTCTACGGCCATTATAAATGGAATTTTGTTTATTAATCTTATCGCGATGTTGAACAAACGACCGGAAAACTCTTTCCGCTTCTGAGTTTTAGATCGTACCCAGCCATGCAGATGGAAAAACGGCTCCGAAATTGAATTGCACCTAACACCGGCAAAAAAACAAGTACACTATATTGTATCGTATTATTTCGTATCAATAATTTTTATAAAGAGAAAACAGAGCAACAAGTAAATAATAAGAAATGATTTATGAATTTCTACGTCCGGACGGGAGTTGTGTTTTCTTATATCGATTCGAGAATCACGACAATCGAAAGTGAAAGTTGTGATCGAGGCAATAATTGCGATTTCAAACTGAAAACAAACGTGTCGACTATGTTGCGATGGTTTGAATCAGTTAATGTACAGGATTTGGCCAATAATTTAGTCTCAATTGTAATTTCGCCCAAGATCCTTTAGAACGTAGTGTTGTTTGAAATTTGCCGGATCCTCATTTCTTTTATTGTCAATTTTCTGCTCTAGAATGCTATACAATTATTAATGTGCTTAGTAGTGTTCTTTTTTTTTTTTTAATAACGTAAAAGTAACTAACAGGAAAAGTTAATTACCAACCGAAAGCATTAAGTGCTGCAGCCTGTTAAATCAAATTAAAACATGGTGAATTATGATTATGAGTTCTTAGTTAAAATAAATATTAATTAGAATGCAACCATTAAGTACCTTTTTTAGCACCTACCGTATTTTTGAAGGAAAAATAAAATACAATTAAAACTAAAGAATTAATTTTCTTGTAACGCCTTAAGGCTAAGCAAGTGAAAACTTTTCTAGTTTCGCACTTTAATTAAACTCAAAATGTTATTACGTTCAATGTTTCTCTTTTTCTCATGAAGCATTTCTGAAACATTTGTTGTGCCATCTTCATTCACGATTTCAGGCTAATTTTTTTTATAAAATCACGAAAATATACAAAATTATTTTATAAACTAATGATGGAGTAAAAACAAAGTCAAGAGAAAAGTGAAATTTCTTGGGAACATGAATTATGGAATAAGCACTCTAAAAATTTTCTTCTTGACCTTTAAAAATAAAAGCTAGATACTATTTCCACTAAAAAATAAGTACCAATAATTAAAATAATGTTGAGTGGGCATCCTAATTTTGTTATATTTAGAAAATTTGAATCAAATCGGGTAAACGACTACAGAATACTTTTATTGTTAACAATTTACAAATGAAATTCAGTCATATTGTGAAGATGAAAAGAATATTTGAAAATTTCTTGTCCAAAAAGTCATCAAAACCTAATTTACTTTTGATAAGTAACTTTTTCTGACATTTTCCTCTTATGGTACCATTTTTGGGTAATCTTTTGCAAGTTCGTACGCCGTTGTCGAATAGGCAAGCATAAATGAATTCTCTTATTTTATTTGTAATAATTATGGTAATAATAAAGGTAAATGATTCTTGTATTGCACAATACGGTAAATAAAACGAAAATAATAGCCATATAATTACCTCCCATTGGAAGATGCACAATGTGCATTTCTACTGTTGGATATTTAGTACCTAGTAGAGTTCGGCTTGTACTTTCTCTTTTTCTCTGGGTAAAATTTCACTTGAAAAGAGCATCATCTCTTCAGTACACATTTGAGAGAAAACATAACATCTCTTCGCATAACTAATTGCGTGTGAATAACTTTACGTAAATAAAACGACTAGAGAAATTATTATCCTTACGTTTGCGTGCGTATTATGTGTATGTTAAGTTGATTTACCTACAATAACAAAAGTAAAAATTTTTACTGTAAATTGTATGGCTAGCAAAAGAGGCAAATTATTTTTCTGTTTCTATATATTTGAAAACATTAACTTTAAGACTTTGGTGAAAGTTTTCTTCTTTTAAATTTTTCAAATTTGATGTATGCAGAACTTCTTTTTTGGGTCGAAAATAGGATAAAATCGTTTTGTTATAACATTTAGAATATACTAATTAGCAAAAGCATAAAGTTAGTGCAATAGAAAAAGAACTAAACATTCCAAAAGTAATTTAGTATTTTAGTTTCAAGTTTCAAACTTTTTCATATATGTACTAGTCTAACTCTTCAGTCTTTTGGAGGAATCCCCGTTTGTCTAATGCCTCGCATTATCATGATTAGATACAATAATTTTTGTAAAAACGAATTTTGACGAGCTTTTTATTTCTTAAAGAATGATTTAGGAGGGATTGAAGGATATACAAGAATTATGACAAAAAAAGTAAATCAAAAATTTTCGAATTG